GTTGTGGCGACGAAAGATTTTTACTGTTGCACTGCGTTGAAGTAAAGAGAAAGTTTTGTACAATGAATTGGTAGCTTTTAAGGACAAGCGGGCTAACCCAGATTTTGGGTGTTTCCAGAAATCTTAACTAACACCAAAAGTGGATGTTGCCGTACTTGTAGGAGAAGTTTGATTCATTGGTGTGTATATTTGTTTGGTATAGAGAAAACTCTTCTTGTCTTTTAAAGAAACTGGACAAGGGGCAAACATTTTACCTTCGATTTTCTCAAAACGGCATACTTCGGGATGGCCCCCTTGTGCTTAAAAGCGACCAATTGGAAAAGGGGTGTTTCCACTGAGATTACAGGGCCAGATATTATAGTCAGCGCCAGTGCACAAGGGCCTAAAGTAAGTCTTTTTCTTTTCTTCTAAATTTAGATTTCGAGACACTTGAAGAAACAGAGAAACCATAGACCCTGATCACAATTCAAAGCTAGGAAGGAAATAACAAAACAAATCGAAACTACAACGCATATTGTAAAGTGCTACTACTTCATTTCCTTATATTCGAATAACGGTTTTTCCTAGAAACACACAGAAATAGTTGATTTCGTTGATTGTGAAATGACACAAACAACTAACAATATAATTATTGTCTCTGTAATTCTCTTTCTCCAAGCTTTCTAATAATATCACAGCTTCAAAAATGAACTCATAACTGTCAAAGATTGTACATAACAAGATAGTTCACTCAGCCAAAAAAAGTGTGCGCGGAAGTCCGCGCATTGGTTCAGATGGCGCTGTAGTCTTTGTTTTGAAGCGCTTTTTCGTTTCTCCAGAAGAAGAATAGGAATAGCACAGCTTGTTAGTTTCGCTTTTATTGTTTTTCACACAAATAGGGTAACTCTGTTCACAAAGTCCGTTCTGTTTTAAAGAGGGCGCCACGAGATTTTGAGAACACTTTTTTAATTGGCTCAAAGAGAGGAGTGAACTATCTCGTTATACGCAATCTTTGCCACAGGTTCAGATGAAGTGCCCCGGTACAATGTAGTTCAGTTGGTGTGCCGCAGAACAGAGTTGCGAATGGCAGTTGTTCGAATCTGACTGTAATTGACTTTTTTTCGACTTGGTCAATTGGCGAGATGTATTGGTTCCGTGGCCCCATTGCTTGGCACAATCCGATATAGACGTGCAATTGGGATACCCCGCCCATTAAACAACCTGACTATATTGAAATGGGCGTAAAACACCATTTCACGCTAACGAAACAGAGGACACGGTGCATTCGTAAATTGTAGCTCACCCCTACCTCCCTC